CTTTAGAAGGAGATGAGACTCCTACTGAAGAAGGGAGGGAAGAAGAAGAGCCAACTGATAATACTGTTCACCAGAACGAGCAAGATGAAGACAGATCTGAGACTGGGGCCACAGGTAGTGAGGATGACAGAGAAGAACAACCCAATTTGCAGCCAGAAGATGCTTCTCAGCCACGGCGGTCAACCAGAACCAGGTCACAGCCCAACTGGATGAGAAGTTGAGAATATGTTCTTTCTGCCATAAGTGATCCTGGAAATCCAGAATGGCTTGCCAGAGCCAACTATCTCAATTCTCTGCTAGCTGATGATAGATTCCGGGATCAGCGACACCGAGTGGCTGATACTCTTCTCGATCTTGTTAGCGGCAAGGTCAAATGATGAGACATCATTTTCCTGTGGGGGGAAGTATGTGGCAGACACAAGTATTAACATACAGTTTTGTTGTATATATGTTTTATCTATTTGAGGTCCTTTAGGTTTGTAATATTATTTTAAGTTGTTAGGAAAGTAGGTTCTTAGTTCAATATCTATTATGGGCTTCTGGATTAGTTTACTTATAATGTAGAGGGTGGTTGGGTTGGTCTATGTTTGTGTCATTGTTTCTCCTCTTTGTTCTAACCCAAGCCTTGTTTTCATTGGCTTGTTCAAACTGTGCACTTTTCATCCATCTTGCACTTGACAATACACCAATTCAGAAGTCAGTCAACAATTTGGACTCGGACAGATCTGGGATAAATAATTCGATTATTAAGGTTAGTAATCTATAAAATTGCTAGCTAATATCTATGTATTTGTATAATAATATAACTTATGTTATCTAAGTTATGTGGAATGTAATTTCAGTATTATTAACATGCTTATCTTTGGTATGGTGATTGTGTCACCATATTACTAAGTTAATAATTAAATAAGGCTAAGTAAACACTATAAATGCTTGTCATCCTTCTTCTTCCTGTGTGTGAATGTTTGAGTGAATGCGTTGATTTTTATCATTGTGTAAATACTGAATTTGTATGCAATGTCAATCATTGTATGGTAGTTGGTAGTTAGTTATATTTCCTAAATTGTATTCTGTATGTTACATTTATTCATAGTTGATTCTGTAATTAGGAGCGTGCTGACAGCTACAAAGCTACCACGCAAGGCGGCTGCCTAGACAGGACAAACACCCCAGTGTCACCCACAGGGTACGCATAATTTACATGTTTGTTGTGTCATGAAGTATATTTTATAAATAGTGTATCATACCAAATGTATGATCAGGTAATGAATTAATATAGTAGTTTCAACAAAGTGGTAATTGAATTTGTAATGTTCATTGTATGTTGGAACCGTGGACCATATATATATATTGTAATCTTATCAGTAATGTCGGGATCGAGTTATCGCCCTTGATCAATCGTTTGTTTACTTCAGGGTAAGGTAATGATTTTATATATCATTGATTATTAATTTCATGTTGATGTAATGAATATAGACTATGTTTATATTAAATGAAAGGTTGCTTTGTATTGTATTAATATATGTGTGTATGAAACCTGTGTACTACTGTTTTTATAATCTTATTGTTTGAACATTACAGGGTGTCATTGTTATCTACTAATAAGGCAATAAAGACTCACACCCGTAGCCTGTGTTGGACCTTGTATTCGCCATCACAAACCCCGGTTACACTAGTTTAATGTACAAATGTGTGGTTTTCTGATCATTATACTCTCCATAGTCGACATGTTGCAGATATCATTATTGTATAACTAATACAAATCTCAACACGGCTAAAATGTCTAAATTGTTTTAAGTTATGGGGGACTGTGGGGTAGCCTTGTGGTTAAAGCGTTCGGTCGTCACGACGAAGACCCGGGTTCTATTCCCCACATGGGTACAATGTGTAAAGCCATTTCTGATGTTCACTGCCATGATGTTGATGGAATATTGCTAAAAGCGGCGTAAAACACAACTCCCTCACTCACTCAACTATTACATACTGCGAATCCCTTCTGCCATAAAGGGCCCACATCATAAGATTAGATGGAATGAAATTCCCCGCCATGAATGAAAAGGTCATGTTGTCATAGCGTGCGAGGGTCATAGTCACAGCATACATTGGTCACGACGGGAGAAGAAGAGCAATTCAGATTCAAATATACCATGCCCAAAAGTATCGGATAGTTGGAATCATCAAGACATATCGTCTGCTCTATATAGTATTGGCAAATGGAAGTGATATGATCATATATGCTTGGAAGTAGTTGGTTCTAAAAGATGGTGTGATGAGATGGTGGCGTTCTAGTTCTTCAAAGAGGCCGGGGTTCAAATTTAAACTTGCATTATGCATACAACGGGTATAACCACCTCTGTTGGTCAGACATGCACGAATTCTTCGCGTCATGCTTCTGATGAATCTACAAATGTTAGCTTGACTCATGTTGTTCCGCTCATCAGTGGAGCAATACCGAGTTCATTTAGAGTGGTGGGTTGACTTTGACGTTGACGTCTGCCAACGACGTCCCAGACGTGTTCACTTGGGAAAAGGTCAGGGCCAAGTGCTGGCAATGGTATGACATGGGTGTTTTATCATCTTGAAAATATGGAGCGCAGTTAGCCCAGTCATACTGATACACCCCCTAACCCCCCCCCCCCCCCCCCCCCCCCCTAACCTTTACTGACCCACCCCAAAAACGCTTTCCAAACACTCTTCGATTCCTTCGGTCATGGGGGTCGAGGGTAAACCTCGATTTGTCAGAAACATGACATAAGACCAACGTCGATTATCCCAGTGCTGATGTTACCTCCACCACTGACGCCTCTGATTCAATTGACGTGCAGTAATTAATTTGTGGGATGACACGTGTATGGTTAGCGGATAGGGTCAAAAGATGATAATCGTTACCCGTAAATACTTTAATCTATAGGAAATTCATGTAGATTTACGTGTAACCACTTGTTACATGTGCGTGTAAAACTAATCTAAACTAAACTAATCGTAATCTAAAGGGCATTACTGAAGTAATAACGCGGTAAAGCCTTTGATGAAAATGAAAAATCAATCTACGTTTGTGTGTAACACACTTGTAATGGGTAAAGCTAACTTCGTAGCGCGTAGACCTTATATCCATTCAATTAATATAGCACAGCAATTTGTTTACACGTAAATCAACATGGAATTCCTATTGGTCAAAGTCTTTATGCGTAACATGCGTATAATCATAAATTTGGTGTTCACTGGTCAAAATATTTATGCGTTATGAATAAAGCTTTTATGCATAAAAAGTATCTTTGCGCGTAAAATATCAAGTTTTACAGGCAAAACAACTAGCTCTACACGTAAAAGGCCGCTTTATACGTAAGAAGCGCGTTATGCGAAAACCTTCATGGATCCTTTTGGTTAAAGCCTTTACGCGTAAGGAATTTAGCTTTTCACGTCACGTTTGTCACATTCTGACCCTATCCGCTACTGTCTGGGCATGTACTCTTACACCAGTCGTTCTGACTAATCTGTTCTGGGCTTGAGTTGTATCCGGCTTCGATCATCAACGTTATGTGTTCGTTGGTATCGGCCAACAATCTGCTGATTACAGATTGAGAAACAAATGCAGCGTTTTGACAACAAAAATCGACATGTGCCCACCTGCAACTTGCCTATGGCACGAAAAACGTTCAGCACGTTGCAAATCAATGTTGTTGTTTCCTTTATGATCAAATGTGTTTAATAAAGTGTCTCAGTGTTTAGTTGCAAGAAAATAATATGCGTCTGCACACAACCAAGCCTGATTGATAAAGGTAACTCTGGCATACAGTTGCGCGTGCTGTCCGAGGTCACGTGCTTCATGACTGTCACAATGTTGTGTTTGGAGCTTGATTTCTTCGAAAATGTTTTTGCCATATAAATCATTTACTTTCATTAGCAGATGTATTGATGTGTTTTCCTTAAAAAAATATCCCCTATTTCTTTTCATAGTATTTACATAAAACGTAAACGCCACGCTCTGCATCTCCTCGACACTGTCTGGATAAGTGTACGAATTCTGTCCTGAGGAATTCAGTGCCAATCTGCTTGTAACGCGTTGGCCAGTTGTGGGAATTCTGCGGCGTGTTCTGACGTTTACGTCGATCGAGTTCATCCCAGAGGTGTTCGATTGGGTTGAGATCTGGAGATCTCGACGGCCAGGGCACGACGTTGATGTTGGCATTAGGTAGGTAGTCTACCGTGACACGAGCTGGTTGCGGTGGAGCGTTGCCCTGTTGAAACAGCTCCCTCTTGCGGTCATTGAAAATTCCAAGGCTGTAAGGTATGGCACCAACGCTGTCGATGGATCTGTTGCAAAAAAGGGATGATAACTGGTCTTCTGGGTCGGATTCCAGCCTCGCGAATATGGTTCCTGACAGTCAAACCAGGGATGCGCCATGCAGTCTCCGTAGCTGTGGCATTGCGATGACGTATGTGGAACAGTCGAATGTAGCGATCCTGTGCAGGGGTGGTAGCTCTTGGCCGGCCGGTTCTCTGACGGTCTGCAGTGGAATTGAACTGTGTGTATCGGTCCCAAAGGCGGCAAATGGTGCTGTGGTGGACGTTGAAGTGGCGTGCAACAGAAGACTATGTCTCCTTGGATACGTCCTATGGCGTTGAGTGTCGGCATTTTCTAACATGGAAAATGTTGACAATTGGATGACAAATTATTGGCTTATGCTTGCCTTTTTATAGCCACTACCACGAGGTACGAATGCCATAACTTGCACGTGCATGTTGCTTTACTACTGTTCTCCTCCATTACATGTTTTAACAAGTGTGAAAACAATGCCGTTTAAGACATGCAAATCGACAATGGCCTCGTTTTGGGGCACCGTTTGTCGAATATCAGGCCCCCAACATTTTCCAATAACATATGTCCAATTTATTTACCAGACTTTGTGTGTAGTCAGGTTCTATGAACTACATACTATACCTGTACGCTTCTTTTTTTAAAGAGTGTATTGTTTTAAAACTAGGATATGACATACTTGCCTTGTTCATGTAGGTGAATAATTGCGGCGATATCACGGGAGAGTCACAGACCGTACAGCCAGCACAATGGATCGGACGCCACATGTAGACGAGGAGATCCCCATGTCGGAAACCAACGTCAACACCCGCAACGGCACTCGGGATGTCGATATGGTCAGCGTGAGTGGAGATGGAAGGGTCAAGTGGACCCGACAAATGGATTTCTTTTTGTCCTTGGTTGGATATTGTGTTGGTTATGGAAATCTATGGAGATTTCCCTATTTCTGTAACAGAAATGGTGGAGGTAAGAATAATAACTAAAGGCTTTATTGTAAGTTGAATATGAGAAATTTGATGTATAAATCACATATTTTGATTACAAACGTACACTGCTAGTAAGGCACAGCTCATATCCAAAAAAAAGTAATCACACATATGCCTACGGGACATGCTTCTCCTTGTAAACTTGATTATCTGTAGTAACAACCTGCGAGAAATAATGAAGTCAATTCATTGAGAAACATGTCGCGACAGTAAGTGCGTTGGTAATAATGTACGTGTATGTACATATCTATATGTGCATATCATGTTGCGTTACATATTCGTAAATCAATAATATAGTCATGTATTTTCATACAGTTATATTCTCGTGTTAATTATTTAGTACGGTTATTGGGGTTGCTTATCAATTTATTTGGAGAAGATGTATTTGTGTAATAGGTAGTACCATTTTCAAAGTAATAATATCAAACGGTACATGATTTGCAGAAAAGCATATTTTCGCGAATAGTGAGTGAGTGAGTGAGTATGGTTTTACGCCGCTTTAAGCACTATTACAGCAATATCCCGGCGGGGGACACCAGAAATGGGATTCACACATTGTGCCCATGTCGGGAATCGAACCCGGGTCTTCGGCGTGACGATCCAACGCTTTAACCACTAGGCTACCCGACCGCCCCTTTTCGCGAATACCTGGTACCATCGCTATTGAACAGTGATTCATAAACACGTGCTTCATGACAGTCAATCTGCATTAACAATGTTAATTAATTTCATATAAATAAAATATATGTAATAAACTTTAAGAATATGCCACTGAACTTGCACCAAGTCTGTTCTATCAGTGTAGGAGATGGCTGCCCCCATCATCACAAAAATACCGCCCCATCTGTCCACTTCCTGTACGCAATTTCGTGCATAACGTTCCCCACGTCTGTAAACACGATGTCTGCCATACGCACGGCGAAGCATAATACGTGACTCATCACAACACCAAACTTGTCTTCATCACAGTTGTGGTCATACTATGTGACCATGACAACATTGACGTCGCAGCCTCTGATGTAGGACGGTCAAAATGACACATCGAACTTGTCATCTGAAGGCATTCGCGCTTAAACGGTTCCGCACTGTCTTGGCTGATATCCTACGCAATCCATGTATTGCCGTAGTTGCAGAGGTGGCCGTGGTGGTTCTTTCACGTAGCCGTATTAATCTGTCCTGTGTTCTATTAGTTATACGTGATCGACCATCTGTGTATGGTGACCTTTATTTCTTTGGCAGGTTTACGTTTTTCCATTAAATAAATCTCTATATTTACTTCAGTTTGAAGATGTTATGAAACATCTTCTACTGGCAAGTGTATCTAAAGTATTTCCGTATCTTAATGATATTGTTGACACATACTATCTCCTAAATAAACCTTTTGAACAACATTTTCGGTCAAACACATTGTTTACAATGCTTACGTTCATCGCAACAAATGCATCACCAAAAGGTTCTCATTCGTAAGGTTAGTTATCTGACTGAAACATCTATGTATTGTTCTTTGTTTATTAGTTGTCATAAACTGACCACTAGGTCATAAGAAGCTACTTCTTGGCCAAAACATTGATCTCCTAACTGATAATAATTAATCCGACATTGAATGTCCAGAAACATGGCCAAATAAACAGTTAAATAAAAGCGACAAAACCCTTTCTATATTCATAAGAAATATCTCTTACAAGAATATTTCATTGTTCGTTTTCGACTTATCATGAACATGTGTTTTTGAATGACGATCATAAAGTGATGATACAAGATGTTCGCGAAAGGGCGAGCGTATACTTCCCGATCGGTGCCACCGGTCACAAGTCATGAAATAATGTCCAATTGTAAGAGCTGAAAAGCCTTATAAATGCAGTACTCATGTTTCTAATCCATTTTTGGTACTAGGAGCGTTCCTGATTCCCTATTTGATCTGCCTCGTCCTGGTGGGCCTACCGCTATTCTTTTTGGAGGTTTCTATTGGCCAGTTCTCTGGACGTGGGGCCATGCATGTGTGGAGCATTTGCCCTCTCTTTAAAGGTGATGTACTTGGGAATGATATGCAAAATATTCTTTCCACATTTCACACTCATCTTCAGATGATAGATAATCTGTAACCTGATATCATAACGTGTTGTACTGTATATACTTTTTTACACAAAAGGTCCATGCCATTACTCAGCGACGTTTTCTAACACACCATGTGATACCATGCTATAAAAGTACAGTTTCTCCTACCCCCATGTGAAGTTTAATAAAGTATAGTTTTGCCCTGAACTATTATAGTTGAAGCACGATGACGTTTGAGTGCTACAATAGTTCAGGGCAAACATATTCTGTTTTACACGTCACATTGGGGTACGTTTTTTACATAATATAACACCGCAAAATTGTGTAATCTGAAGTTAAATCAGTCCCACTCTATTATCGGTACAGTATAATGTAACAGGATGTGTATTTATATTGATAGTTTTGGTTCATTAGAGTCACATTTTGCTTGTGATAAACGTCATCGTTGAGTTTTGATCGCGTGCTTACAATCCGGATAAGGATCATCAGTCTGTGACTACGAACGGTTATATATCAATTGAACTAGATCAGAGACTATAAAGAGATCTTTGACGAGGTCTATAAGGCAAATTAATAGTCAAATTAATTTTCGCTGACATGTCGCAGGAACAACAAAACGATCGTGCTCTGTGTTGATGTGTAGTTTATCATCTGTAAAGGCCTGTGAATATAACAAATTAGATGTTATGTGACAGCTAGATTGTCCGGCATGGTGCGTCTCATCAGACAGACCATGTAGTTGTTTAAACCAGTAATTAACAATATATCTATAATTCAACATGTAAGTTTTGAAGTAGCAACTAAATTGAATATCAAGCAACTGTAAATGCAAAATACTAACTTCAAGTTTCCCATAGCATATGGCTCTTTCGGTATTAAAGTAAGTATTATCTAGAATTATCTATAATATAATTCACACTTGAAAATTCACCTATTACATGTTTAGATAAAACAATTCAAACTTGCAATTTTTCACAATTCAGACCTAGTTAACAAACAACCTATGACAACTGTCACCATTACAATTTGTTTGATACATATGTTTTTCCGTCTCACGATTGTCAACACCATGAAGTGTTTTATCCAATTCATTGTAAGAAACTGTTTCACAAATCAATAATTGATACGGATGCGTCTTCTTGATTGACAGGAACTGTGTTACCTCAGATACGTCAGATCACAGAGGGAGGTCATTTGAACCACGTCACTACGCCAGCGCATTATGGCGTGATTCAAAAGTGAACTTTATCGCAGGAAAAGGTCCTGTCGGCGCGTTAGATTTTTTGTTTTCAATCTTAATCCATCTCAGAGTATACCACAGAACATGACTGCTTTACATTCCAAACCACGTGTAAACCGGTGTCATACCATGCCGTACAATTCCATACCGTGTCATATGACAGCATTACAAGTATTACTTCGAATATACCATAATCAATGAAATCACATAATTTCATACCACATATCATCTGATGCAACACCATTTCATACCGCTACATACTAAACGTTTGTTATAATATTATTATACATGTACTTGTGAAGATGACGCTAACATGGCTGATGCTCATGATTTAAATCACTTGATTGTCTGGCCCTGACTCGATTATTTACAGACCGCCGTCATAAAGCTGGAATATTGGTGAGTACGGCATTAAACAACAAACGAACAAACAAACAAACATGATATGATTATAATATATCCACACTTCTTCCTCAGGCTTGGGTTATGCGATGAGTATGATCTCCTACCTGTTTTCATTCTACTTCAACCTGATCATTGCCTGGGTCCTGTACTACCTGGTGATGTCCTTCTATCCTGTCCTGCCCTGGACCACCTGCTCCAACTGGTGGAACACGCCCGCGTGTACCACGTGGGACACCCCCCAGACAGGCAACGCTAGTGTCATGTACAACGTTAGCTTCCTCGGCTCTACACAAACACCTAGGAACGTCAGTACACCAATCAAAAGCATTTCTAATGTTTCAAGATCAGCAGCGGAAGAGTTCTGGCAGTAAGGAAATGGCTACTTTTAAACAAAAAAGGAATAAACTTCCTGGAAGGTGCTCATATAGGATCTGCAAATGTTATTAAGTACATACCATATGCTTATTTGATGCGAATCATGTAGTCTCATACATTAATAGTCATTTGAATACACAAGTTTGTTTCAGGTACAACACACTGCGTGTTTCTACAGGACTACATGAAATGGATGGACTTCAGTGGCATTTGGTTGTTGTTTTATTTGCTGCATGGGTCATTATTTTTCTCTGTCTGGTGAAAGGTGTAAAATCTGTTGGAAAGGTTTGTAATAGTTCCATTCCATTCTGAGGGTGCATGCAGGGGGTTCGAGAATATGGTTCCTTGTGCTATAAAATTTGCTTCAGAGGGAAACCAATCATTGTGTCCTTGTTTGTTGATGGTTTGTGCAAATTGTGCAAATTCCTTGAAGTGTAATCATGATAAAGAGATATGTATTAAAGCAATGTTATATATTGTTTAAATAAATGAAAGCAAAAAACCCGATGGCTTTTGAGTGAGTTCAGTGTGTTTGGATTGACACGTTAAACTTATACATTTCTGCATTATTGGTCTGCAAAACAAACCCCTCCTATTAGAAAACATTCTGTGAATCTGAACTGCGGGTCGTCACTGACCTCAGGAAGAAGTGCTTGCATCTAATTTACTTGAGATATACCCCTGTGTCTATGGTGAAAGTGTCATTTTAACCTTGCATGGTATGGGACCCCTGTGAGATATAATTAGTTCTTATTTATTATTTCAAGTGTTATTAACGTATTCCCTACATATAGACATGGGAGACAATCAGCTTCTTGAATATAACATGACAATGTCGGTACAGTTGACACCTGTAGTAGGCATCGTCTTTGGAGATGGTATCTGATCGGTGGTTCCTCTTCCAGGTGGTGTATGTGACTGCCCCCCTTCCTTATATACTCCTCACAGTCATCATCGTGCGCGCTATGATGTTGCCTGGATCTCTGCAGGGCATCATATTCTACGTCAAGCCAGACTTCAGTCGACTGGCTGATTTCCAGGTCAAGTAACTCTCCATAGAAACCCATTCCATACTCAAAAGAAATCTTTGGTAAAGTAGAATCCACTGTTCGATTCTGACTAGATCTTAAGCATGTGTTTGTTTATGAATCATTATTAATAAGTGTGGTACCAGGTGTTCGTGAAAAAAATGAGCGTATCCTGCCCCCGTGGCACCCGTCACAAACACCTTTGCAAGTCAATTGTTCACCTGAAAAAACATGGGAACAGATGGTACAAGTCAAGACGGAATAGTAATAGTATTTGGCATCATTATTGTCATGATGCATGGAATTTTGAAATGTCTTTGAAATGTTTGACGTAACACTTTTTGAAAGTTCAACTACGGCCTTGGATTTGTAGCCCTGCGCAAATATTTTTGGGCAAGAGTGTTATTATCCTACATGTATTTGAAATCCTGGAAGAAAGAGCTTGTCTGATTGTTCATCAAAATTTGTGACTTGTAGACACTTAAAGCTTGACCTGCTAGAATATTGCAGTATATGGAGAGAACGTTGACCATTGGAAAGTTGAAGTCATCTGTCATGTAGTCTGAGAATCATGTACACATTTGTCTCGCAGCTGCAATCGGAACATATCTCTGTTTTCAGGTGTGGTTGGAGGCATTGCTGCAAATTTTCTACTCTCTCGGCATCACCTGGGGTGGCCTCCACACCATGTCCAGCTACAACATATTCTCCAACAACTGTTACAGGTATACTCACTGACATCATGTTTTAGAAAATTTACTGCAACTGGCGTGAACGCTTTGCGCTGAATGTGAAATTTTGTTTGTCCTCCTGCAATGGCTCATAGTTGAGTCCATAGTGTTATTGTTTTACGTGTGCTCAATTATAATATACACATTATTCAGTATGCGATATGTGCAGCAGTAATGTGCGAGCATGTTTATATAAATGACCAGTTGGTAGAATTTGTAAAGAGAGTCATGAGGGCAAGGGAGAAATATCTCAGTGTATAACTTATATTTAAACTTCTACACTGATCATGAACAATTTACTTATTTGTGTAGTAATACATGACAAATGTAAATGTGTACTTTTTGTACGTATGAATGTTTAATATCTTATTATTTAATTAAATGTATATTTTCGTATTCAAACATGTGTATCCATGGACAAATTATATACTTTGGGCCGAAAGGTCTTATGTCCAGACAAATATCGAAAGAGTATTATGTCTGAATCAAAACCTGCAGAGATGCTGTCATCATTACTTTCCTGAGCGAGGGCACCAGTTTCTATGCAGGCTTCGCCATCTTCTCGGTTCTTGGATTTATGGCGGAGAAAAAAGGAATGCACATATCAGAGGTTACCAAAGCAGGTGAGAATGGTTCAGTAAGAAATCAATAAAGACTGGTCGGTAAATAGACCCAGAACAGCCGTTTAGAGTAAGATGCTGGTGAGAGACTGATATAGTGAAATGGGTTTTACATCACTTTCAAAGGTGTTTTTTTCACCAGTAACAGCATTTCAGGGTAAGGCGTGAGGAAATCCTTTTAAGTTTGCTATTCAAATATATTTAATGAAATATCATGAGCACAAGTACTGTTCTGACTATAATCAGGATAATAATTGAAGCAAATCTGGCATACGAACCAACGACAAGCAACTGTACTTCATAGTGGGGTTCATGTACATGATATCTCCTAAAGGCGCATTCACACGGTACAACTAATTGTCTACAATCTGTTGCTTGCAACACATTGCATCGTGTGAACAGGCAAGTCGGTTCAACTTCTGATGTATGAAACTTGTTGGAAGTGAGTTGTACGAAATAGGACATGCTCTATTTCCATGCGACAAGTTCAAAAGTATCGGGTATTTGCTCTTTCTCAAAACACAAATAATCATTCTGAAAAGTACGGTAACCCTATATTCGTTTTCGAAACGTAAAAACTCTGCACCTAACCTCTATGTTGGATAGTGTTACAAAATCACGATTCTTTCGCGTCTGTCGAGATGCCATACACATCAAAAATATTTTACACTAAGCTACGATACATACGTCTCTGAAGTCATTATACCATTAACATTCAACTGACAAATTATCTAAATCACTAATACAAATGGTCGAAATGAAATCATCCGAAATATTCAAGTGTGAAACTAAGCCCTGTGTTCTGAAACCTTCCATTGGGCTTCTTGTTGGGAAATTTCTAGTATTACATGTTACCATTTCCTACTATCTTGATAGATCAAGTCGTCAATTTGTTGCATACATAAACTCAGATTACTGCGAGGGTGCAGGGCGCGATAATCGTTGCATGAAATGAGGAATAAATAATTAGATACTTTGACAATGATTTGGAAAAGTAAACGGACATCGTTCCACGTGACGCCATGACTGACTCAAAATAACGCACACTGACGACGGTATTGGTCTGCCTTTTCACGTAGTATCAAGGCTAGAATGGAAACATAAAAACAAATATAGCATGCTGATTTCAGATATATTGTTACTGATTATTTAACTTGCAGGACTCATTTATGTACATATGTAATCCCTGCATCAAGGATAAACCGAACATTCCGCGTACTATCAGTGAACTCGCTGTGTTGTGAAGGTAACCGGTAGTCATGTCATATTAGTATACGTCAGCACCTACTTCGTTGTACATATTTGTAATCTTCTTTGGGGTGCGGGTGAATTTGTACACAACACATTCATTTCAACCCGTTTGTTTCAATATTGAATAATATTTTGAATATCTCTTAAATATCTTTTGAACCAGTAAAAAATTTTTACTGCTTCAACATGGGTATATTTTTTCAAAACTGTTTCATTTTATTTAAAATGCCACAGAATTTATGAAACTTCTGTTTAAACAGAGAAATTGCAATACCTCGTGTCGTGTAATGCATGTCCTTCCAATAAGATGCTTTGTGAATGAACACACTCATGAATGAATGTACATATTTCCTTTGGAGAATCGTGAAATAGTAATTATGGCAAATATCTATAAATAGGTCCAATTCAGAAGCCACTTCATTTCTTAAAATAAAAGAAAATGTATACCTGAAGAATTTTTCCACCCATTATATGTTTATTAATGTATGCACAAGTCTGAAAAAACCCTATTTGTTTTACATTTGTATTTTACCGTTTGATTAGCGGAAAATTGATGTCTAAAGGTTGCTTAAGGTGCGCGTGTAAATAGTGGCCGACCATTTGATATTCATAGGTGAGGGGCGGGTCATGGTGTGTTTGGGTTTAGGTGTGCGTTGATGGGTGGAGTGGGGAGCTGTTGTATTGATAAAGCCTAACATTTTGTTCTCTTAATCAAAATTTTCTCCACTATGAACGAATATTAGTGGATATATAGGTACTATTTATTTTTTGTGGTACCTATTTCATCGTTTATTATTAACTGGTATAAAACCTAAAAGTATCTGGTTTCAGCTGGCCATAGGACACTTTCATAAGTTGTACAGGACATTCAATAATTTTTATTACCAAATTAGAAAATTTCGGATGACAATCATTTAATGTCCATGAAAAGGAAACGACTCTTACCAATATTGATAAAGGTGTGTGGGAACATTTTGGGTACACATGAACAAAGATGTACCAGAAGGTAATGAGAGCCATAGCAATTGCTCACCACGGACATGACGGATGCGGAGTTACATACTGGAGGTATGTTGTACATGTACACCCCTCCCTTGTGTTTTGACGTCATAGCGGAAATTATCATTTTGCCACATAGAACAAGTACATTTTCGTATTGAATGTGCCACGTTATACAAAACCGTACAATTCTATTATGTATGTCATTATGTTGTTGATATATAAGGCAGTATTGTGTTCACTCACAGTTTACATAAAGCGGTCAAATAAAACATTTCGTCGCACTGTACTTTATCTATGTACCATAACATTTGGCCACATTTTAGATTTTTTTCGGTAGGACAACAGAAACTTGGAGAACATTTAGCCCTTTTTGCTTTTGAAACCAGTTTTTAATTTTTCACCATGGAGTTGTCAATTAAATAATGTACAACTCAAGTTGCAAAGTTAGGGGTTGGCCCATTTCTCGCACAGCTTTCATTTTTCAAAAGTGTGCGTCTGAAAATCCCAAACAGGATTCTAGCGGTAATGTAGTGAATCACAAGCTATTGGTCAGAGATCTCGCGAGATCCGAGTTGTGTGCAACTCTACGCCGTGTTAATGCTGAGTTGTATACAACTTCAGTTTGTACAACTAATTGCATACAACAAATTGTATACAACTAGTTGCATACAACAAATTGTTACAACAATTAACTAGTTGTACCGTGTAATTGTCCCTTAAGACACAGGACCAGTGAGGTTGAACATCACATGCTTGTTCTGGGCAATAGTGACTATGCTTCTTTTCAGAGAGTACACATAGAAATAACCAGATATAACATGCTCACAATTTTTTTAATATGTTTAATATCAAATCTGGTTTATGACTGCTTTGTGTTAGACACTGCTTTGAAAAGGTTGTATTCAGATTAGTCAAGGTCCTGTTCAGGAAGAAGGTTGCTTCTGTGAAATATGGAAATGTATTAATGGCACAGTCTAAACTAAATTATCATCTAAGTAGATAATACTTTTAACTACGTAGATGATACTTTCATCTCCGTATGTGATATTATAATCGTCCGTATCGTTACTCTGACGGTGATATTGTTTCATGCAGTTGTAACCCAAGTTGGATACAAACGTTTATATTTTCAATAAAGACGATTACATAATTACCGTTAATTTGATTAACTGTTTGGAAGCATGTTGGTTGTTTATCTTCAACGTGTAAAATTATTAGCGCTAAAATAACAACGCAACTGCAGAATTGCACGTTTAGTGCTTTTATAGATTTTTGACAGATATTGGTTTGATATAGGTTTATAGTTTGATTGATTCTTACCCCTTCATATTCACGTTTTACATCTTAAACCTAATTTCCATAATGGAGAAATCATTAGGATTAACATATTCCCCCTGCTTTAACCATGTTATGGTTGATATATAATTTCGCTAAAATTTTGAATAATGACCTATAGCTGTTTATATTTTTGTAGTTTGGAGAACATTTTCTGCTCCCCACTCTTTATTACGGTTGTTGAAATGAAGATTTACTTTATGCAATGTTTAGATAATACCTCAATAGAAAGCAGAAAGTCACACCAATCGGTCATTTTAAATTACGCCAGTGGTTATATATAACTGACCCGGAACTGCTGGCGATAACTCGAGATAATATTGATGCCTAAATGAAAGTATCTTCTCCGTAGATGTGAACAGTATCATATGCGTCGATGAAAGCATCATATACTTCGATGAAAGCATCATCTGCGTAGATTATAGTTACTGTATCATCTGCGTACGTGTAGGTATCATCTACGTAGATGAAAGAATCACCTACGTAGCTTTAAGTATCTTCTACGTAGATGATATTGTTTTTTTAGACTGTGGCACTAATCCGCTTCCATAGTGAAACGTTTCACAGATATAGCTGATGGAAATATTCTGATACTTTGTAAATGTGATGTGAGGTATACTGACTCCGAGCCGACCAGTTCTTCTTTTAGCCCCTCACTGGCGAGCACCAGGCAGGGTAACAATAAGTACCATCATTTAACGTCTTTTGGTATGACGCGGCCGGGGATCGAACACCGGACCCTCCACACTTCGGTTGGACGCTCTGCCACTAGATCACTGGGCGGTTTATACTTGTAAGAAGGACATCAACATTTAATGTTTTGTATTACAATTGCAAATCAACTTGCCCTTAATGAAATTCAATTCCCTTTCTGTTTAGAGATACATGTAAACACACCGTTAATCGCAAGAAAATGTCATCTGGTCACGCACACAATTTTGTACACAAAATATCAAAACTTAGTCGTCTGGGACGCCGCGTTCAAAGTGCAGAGTTAAGTCCCGGAGGCGTGTCTGTCATCACCGGTTCGAATCCCAGATTCGCCCTGATTATGTGTCAAGGTTTGTCCAGCACCAACCCGTGCTCATGGCTTTCGACCCGTGAAGATTCCGGGGTAGAATAGGTCTTCAGCAACCCATGCCTGCCGTAAAAGGTGACTATGCTTGTCGTAAAAGGCGACTAACGGGATCGGGTAGTCAGGCCCGCTGACTTGGTTGATGCAGGTCATCGATCCCAATTGCGTGGATCGATGCTCATGATTTTAATCACTGGATTGTCTGGTCCAGACTCGATTATTTACAGACCGCCGTCATATAGCTGGAATATTGCTGAGTGCGGCGTAAAACAACAAACCAACCAACCAACCCGTGCTCATGGGTTTCACCAAAGTGACATGTCTGGGGCCTGCATTACTTGTGATATTCCGCAGGTCCTGGTCTTGGCTTTGTGACTTATCCAGAAGCCCTTGCTGAACTTCCGTTTCCACAAGTGTCTTCAGTCATCTTCTTTGTTATGCTTGTCACAGTGGGAGCTGATAGCGAGGTCAGATTTCAATGGTTCTGTCCAATGACACCCAACAGTTTGTCCTGGAAAATCATGAAAATGTAAAACCTTGTCGTTGCGACATTTAAACAAACATTTAGTTTAATATTATTTGGCCGAAGTAAACAGCTGATATGTGATTATACCGTTATGATTTAACACATAATTGTATATGGTCGAAATATCGTCAAACAGTTATGCATCAATAAGAAAGTCAGTTAATGAAATTCTAGAGAAATCAGTGAAACATGTTTAAACCTCAAACAAACTAATGTTTTCATTCCGTTTCATGTTGTCCCTTTTACAACACTCCTTGAATATACTTGCTGTCAATAAAGGCATATACATTCTTAAGAATGTGTTCCTTCTGACTGATGTTGTTTATGTTTGCTCTAGTTTTGCGCATTGGAAACGACGGTGACTGCAATTATAGACACGTTCCCTAAACAGCTCCAACGCCGACGGAGCTGGGTGACAGCTCTTGTTTGCATTTTCAGCTTCCTTGTTGGCTTGGTCTTCACAACTCGGGTGAGGAGGCTGTGATGAGGTTTCTGTGCCGTGATAATTAGTGACCTCGAAATCCTAGAGTTGTTCACAAAGCAATATATAATATATATCCATAAACACAGGGTAAATCTATCCTTTTATAGGCGAACACTTTCAGTTCTATCGAGGCTCTTTGGATCTTGGAGCACTTGCCTGTATTCTTCATTTTATATTTTATATTTTATATTTATCCTAATACACCGCCGTGATATTGCTGGAATATTGCTAAAAGCGGCGTAAAACCATACTCACTCACTCACTCACCTAATACGATTTCAATGATGAATAGTAAATATGAACTGCGTTATTGTATAGGGTGGCATATACGTGTACATGTTGATCGACTGGTATGTGGCGAGCTTCAGCACCATGCTTATAGGCATCCTTGAGTGCATCATCATTGGTTGGATATACGGTACGGCTGATTTCTGTGTCCTATACGTACATTTAAAAACACATTACATGCTTAAAGGTGTTGATTTCAAAGTTAAAATTGTGTCACTGTTCAGAATATTTAACACTTTGTATATGTGTCAAATTGATAGATTCGAATCAGCTTTGGGTGAATTAACAGTGTCGAATAGTTACATGTCATATATTAGTTATATGAATATTGTGTTAATTTGATAGTTAGACTAGTATCATCATAGGGGTGATTGAACGTACCTCATTTTTTCATTTAAAGAATAACTTATATGCATATATTGGAGTGTGAAATTATTTTTAAAAAATAAAAGACATTATTAATTCATCGTCTTCTAAAGTGTTAGTCGGAGCAGCCTATTGCTCATTTGTGCTTTACCTCATGATATACAAGTTGTGTCATGTATTGAGTGACATCTTAACCTGTTGCCTCAGGTGCTGACCTATTCAGTAGTGACATCGAGATGATGCTAGGACGGAAACCACCTATCTATATGAAGACTCTCTGGTGCTTTTTGACACCTGCACTGTTAACGGTAAGTCCAAAAATGGCGTATTATCCATGATTTGTTTCCCATGTACATTTTGTGTCGTTTTGTTACATTCACTGTACCATACTATATTTCAGATGTGCTTCATCCTCACAATAGTACAGTACGACGTTCCTGCCTATAATGACTACGTATACCCGACATATGGCGTTGCTATTGGACTATTTATTGGCCTGGTGTCTATAGTACCGGTGCCGATCTGTATGATAAACGAGTTATCCAAGGCAAAAGGGACGTTTGTTGACGTAAGTGTTTTGTTAGATAAAAATGTGTATTACGTTTGACAGTATTGCTCTCAAAATGCCAACTAAAATACACATAATTCGCTTAGAAAAAAGGAGCTTGTTGGATGAGGACTGTTAAGTGACTGGCAACAAACACATACTGTTTATGCAAATTGTGTGAGTGGCACTATATGATTACCCTTCTCGTGAACACCTGGTGTCGTCACTAATTTTCAGTGATCCATTCACACTGAAATCTGTTTCGTCGGATATCCGAGCCTGGTTAATCGAGGTCTTTAAATGAACACGTCGAGATACATAAAGGAATAAGGATCATGTGTATTGTGAACTGTTCATATTTTATAAGCTTCGTCTGTATCAGGCCAGGCTATTCAATAAGTAAGGATAAGATGTATGGATGAACAACAATTAGGAGCCAAGTTTCGGTGCAGTTTCTGGCACCGTTATCAAGCGACAAAACCGTTTTCATAATCATAAGAAATCATAAGATCCTTTACACGATTCCGACTTTATCATAACCATATGTATATCAATCCGTATCGATAGTGAAACATGAAAAAGTGAGAGTACCCTGCGCAATCGGGGGCAGCAAATTTCAAAACCTTTTTTCAATCAACATTGGATTTGTCAACCGTTTGGCGATCTTAATATATTAAATGGTCAAACATTATGGTGAGAGTAAGTTGGCCAATACAATAACATCGTTGTGTACAATCAGGGTGGTTCTGCACAATGTCCACACCTTTTAAGTATTATATCTGTAAAGCTAATCTCCATTATATGTGCTTTTCCTCCCAATAAGAATATAAGCGTGTATGTTTTTTTGTGTAATTTATCGGTTTCATTGAATGCTTCATGATATATTTTTGTTTTATTTGACAGCGTGTGCGCACTTGCTTGAAACCTGACTCCACTTGGGGACCAAACTCCACAAAAAGACGTATTGAGTATTCCAGACACAGGAAGACTAACTGGAGGAACTCCTTTAGGATACATAAATGGTAGTCAAAGGAATACCAGGTTCATATGGGTCGGGAAGTCAACTTTAAATAACTTCCTTTGGATAAAAACACTCAAGGACAATAAATCATAATAAACATTCTGGTCGTGTCATTTTCATTATGATAGGGGAGGTTTATATTTTCAAAATACATTTTCTTGAAATCGGATTTTTTCAGTGAAAGATCAAGACATCCTGCTTCTTACAGAATAAAGCTTGTATTGACATATAAGTAAAGTGAACACCGTGATGTCTTATGTAACACTAATGCCGTTGCACAAAGCGATCTTAGCGTTAAGGTAATCGTAACTCCCATACCTTAACATTGGCTCACGGCCGTCGTAGCGCAAAGGTTGTTTTTGTACAATGGCACCCTGGTCTATTCCAATTAAGGTAAAAAATACCTGAAATCAATTACTATATTCAATGTTTTGCCTTTACGGTTATCTATATATATTTATGTACAACCATATTTGTGATGACGCGCGTGCATGTTACACTGCAAACTGTCTGTATTTTTTGGACAGTGGCCTATAACTGAGTAACATATTTGGCTGTCTGTGGAAGGACAATTTCCCCCTGGAATCCCGGGAAGCATGAAGGCCAAGAAACATATGCTTGTTGTAATAAAAGTAGTCTAAAACAGATCGAAAAACCAAAGCTCATGCTTATGCATCCCTGGTCCAGAATGGATCATTTACAAGAGGTTAGGTGAGGTGAAATTGGGTTTAACGTCGCGTCCAAGATTATTGCACTTATAGAGCGACGTGCATGCACGTGTGTGTGTGTGTGTGTGTGTGTGTTTGTTGCTGCTTGTACTAGTCCGGACTGATGCCGATTTATAGTGCTTGCTCACTGAGATACCATGCCGCAGTTTAACATGAAAACCCCACTCAGACACAGTATACTGACTCCGAGCCGACCAGTCCTTGTTTAAGCCCCTTAATGCCAAGCGCGAGACAGGGTAACACCAAGTACCATCTTTTAAGGTCTTTTGGTATGACGCGGCCGGGGATCGAACCCTGGACCTTCCGCTCTCCGGGCGGACGCTCTACCACAAGACTACGGAGGCGGTTCATTTACAGGATGTCGTACTATACTGATGTGTAAAAATCAAAACTGGCCAAGTTATATGATGAAAACAAGGTTTCGTGGATGTACATGGTTAAGATAGGATGCATGGGTAAGACAATTTGAAAAGAAATGAATAAGGGGTCTGAGTTCGAATTTTCATCACCAACCATTTGTAGATAACTCATGCATTTTAATGATGATTCAAACACATCCTGCCACTGGCACAAATTCTGCTGTTGATCGGTCCTTAACAGATGCAAACCTACTGAATGTATGGTATGAATGTGAATGGTTACTCCATGAGGACTCTTATTGTAGAGACCATATTGCAATAATGTTTGCAACTGTTTTACAGCCGGCGATCCACCTTCTTCCAGTCGGAATTTTATGAAGGTCAACTGATCTTTATTTCAACTTCTATGTACTGATAAACTAAAATATACCGGTATAGTTGTACCGGTATTCAGTTGATGAGCTGAATTCTATTGGAGACGAAGGCAAACTCTCAAACGCTCATATTCACAAAACTTGCTAACACCAAGATTGTAAAGAAGCTAGAAAATACAGAAGGAAGTCGAGATATATTTCCGCTGCCATCTTACTGCGCACAATTGAAATAAAAAAATACACGTGCCATGGTGCGGCGTCCTGTTACACAGTATCCAAATTGAAATGCAAAGATTAACCAAACTGTGAAATCCTTAAATGACAACAACAGATCAAGATCATTTTAATTGAATCATCAACAAATTATATTTTTTTTAAAAACAACAACAAAATTTTCGGTTTGCAAGAAACAAATTGAATGCAATAAATTGGGTCGAATAAGTGGTAGCAACAAAAAGTAACAGGCCCTTATAGAATAAATGTGAGCGCACTTAATAGGCATGTCCTCGTTCCAGAATTGTATTAGTATCAGTCAGGAATATAAGTCACCAATAAACGCTTGGCAAGTAGTCAAGTAGTTAAGACATAAGTCAGATCCAAAAGGGCTTTGAATCGCCAGTCTACTCGAAGATGAACCATCCCGAAACCTTTCGAATGATTAAGCATGACATGTACATGTTTACATGTATAATTCTTGCACACGCATGTCCAAAGTTTGGAACGTAACGGCAAAGGTTTCAAAATATGATTTTACCATGATCTTAGAGGTGATAATGATCTTTTCTAACCAACACACTTGCCAAAACACTTTAGATAATTATTCATCATCAACTAACATATGCTAAAATTTCAGAAATACCAAACGCAAAAGGAAAACAAAATGTTTTATCTGGTGAAGATTATACCAAATTAGTTTCATTTGATGAACAACGTACTGCACTTGAGGTCATGACACTGCAACATGAGCCGACAATATCCATTATCAGCTCCTGAAGCACGTCAGTACTAGTCCCGTGTCGAGTTCAGACACTATGCTTTATATTTTTTATGAGTGAGTGATACGCCGCTTTTAGCAATATTCCAGCAATATCACGGCGGGGGACACCAGAAATGGGCTTCATACATTGTACCCATGTCGGGAATCGAACCCGGGTCTTTGGCGTGACGATCGAACGCTTTAACCACTAGGCTACCCGACCGCCCCTATTTTTTTTATATTTTTTTATGAGTGGTAGACAAGAAACATATTATGTCTATTTAGAGAAGGCATTTGATACTCCGTGGGAACATGGTATTCTAATCCCCATTCATTGATTTCAACAAACGCGTAAAACTTTTATTTGGGATCTTAATACAATCACCCAAATAGGCATGTTTGAGATGCATACACGTATATCATGTTCAGTGGCTTGTTTCTGAACACAGATGTCATTGCGTCAGGTAGCGACAGTGGCCAAGTCAGAAATGTTAAACAATATATTTTTTTACAGAAATATTTATATTAACTTAAACAATTTAGGAACTGAACTGTATAAGTGCAAATATGCATCTCTTGTGAAGGCCAATACTTTGAAAATATCCAGATTCATAAAAAAAACCTTTACTGTAATCCAGAAACAGGCCAAGTCTACATATCTTGTTATTCCTGGTGTAAAAGGACTTCACACTTTAGTTGTTGAAGTCTGTGACCACGTGTTCCATTCATAAGACAGTAACATCAGTGGAATCTACTATATCCACGACTCATGCTATTCTGACGTTAATTGTGTTTTGTACCACAGGAGTAACCTTCACGTCCAGCACACCTTCAAACAGACCGTCTATCTCACCCAGCTGTAGATCGTCCAGTCCCCGACATATACATATATATGCAGCTTCATACTTTCCTCGATATGTTTTTAGACATATCCCTTTAATGGTACTTATTTTCAAAATTATCCAGTGAAACTACTTGTATATTTGCACACATAAAAACGAAAACCACACTTAAATCAGCGTGATTGAAACAATGTGTAAAATGTATTTTTATATAATGTTTAATAGCAAAATCAACTATTTATAACAATTACACATTTAGATTTGGTTGATTGTCATACTTCATGTCCATTAAGGGTAAACACATTATTACTGATTGTGGCGTTAACGTCCCATTAAATAGCCACCTCTGTGCTAAATAGCAAATAAATGTAGTTTGTTGTAATGAGCAGGATTTTACACTGTCTCGTGTCCAATCAATTAGTTCATTGAAAACATCTTAACCTCACTTGCAAAACATACATGCATACATGTACAACCACGCACGTCTACACGCACTCCCATTGGAGAATGGAAACCATCTAATAAACTGTCCAGTCTCAGTCAGATGAAGGACTCTGTTGGAAGAAGTCTGTGACCAGTGTGTCATCTGTGCTGGTACGTTTGATGCCAGTTAGAAAGCCCAGTGCTCTGTCTCCTGAAGGGTTGTATATGAACACCACATCTCCCTTGGTGGTCAGACAGACGACACACCTGGATCCAAAATCGGACACAAGGACCATCCTTCCCCATCCTTGTCGTGCAGAGGAAGTGTGGCTATTGAAAGATGGTTTTACCAATGATATGGGGACTGAGTCTCCACTGGGAGGAGACTCGGAACCGGCTGCTAGTGTTGATGGTGCAAGAGACGATATGCCCCGGTGCTGGTTGTGATGGTTTACAGCAGCAGGTCAGGTGACTTCAACTGTTACAATCTGTCTGGTATCTGGCACCTGGTTGTGTTTTTACTCCTGTAAGACATTACAGTCCGCCGTCCAGACTAAGCTCGCTGTGGCATACCTTATTAGTCCTAGTTTAGAAGGACTTCACACTTTTTTGTTGAAGTCTGTGACTAGGTCTGTATCTCTTGCATTCGTAACAAGAACTAGGACGTCAATGGGAGCTGCTTCTACCCCGTCTCCTGCTACTCTGTCGTTAATGGTGACTGGTAACAGGAGTCGCATTCGCGTCCAGCATAGTCTCATCCAGGACCTAGCTCACCTAGCTGCAGTAGACCTTCCAGTGCTTTTCTCCGTAATAATCCAGCTCTATGACGGCGGTCGGTAAGTAATCGAGTCTGGGCCAGACAATCCAGGGATTGCCATCAAGAGCAGCGGTCTACGCAAAAGGGATACGATAACATACATCAACCAAGTCTTGAAAATATGAAGTGATGGGGCTTTTCTGGAGGCAATTGGAAGAGCATTCCGTTTTCCTTTGCAGCAGCTACTTGAAAAGTTCGGGCACCAAAGGATGTAAGTTTCCATGTGTGAGTGACATGTGGAAGTGTGAATAAGGACAAAACATTGTAGTGAAGAGGCGTGTCTACATTATATATCGATTATCTTATGTTTCAAATGGTAATCTGCTGTAAGAAGAACTTGATGTGAGGTTATGCTTCTTTAACCTGGGAGGATGAATAATGTTGCGCGACTTCCGTGCGTGTCTGGAACATAAAAACATATATGATAAAGTCCTACCTGTGCACCCCTTGTACCTGCATCACATCATGTATAATATCGCTCTTCCTAAGCATAACTTGTACCTGCATCACATCACCGTTTCATCCCTTATCCTAAACAAATACGACTGAGGGTTTTTTTTGTAAGCAA